AGGTGGACCACTGGTCTGATCCAGCAGGGCTCGTTCTTATGAGGGCCTCGGCCTCTATGCCCTGTTGTTGGCCCTCCAGAGGAACTGCTTGGCCACTGAGTGAGACAGGATGCTGGACTAGATGGACCACTGGTCTGATCCAGCAGGGCTCCTCTGATGTTCTTATGAAGGCCTCGGCCTCTATGCCCTGTTCTTGGCCCTCCAGAGGAACTGCTTGGCCACTGAGTGAGACAGGATGCTGGACTAGATGGACCACTGGTCTGATCTAGCAGGGCTCTTCTAATGTTCTTATGAGGGCCTTGGCCTCTGTGCCCTGTTGTTGGCCCTCCAGAGGAACTGCTTGGCCACTGAGTGAGACAGGATGCTGGACTAGATGGACCACGGGCCTGATCCAGCAGGGCTCTTCTAATGTTCTTATGAGGGCCTCGGCCTCTGTGCCCTATTGTTGGCCCTCCAGAGGAACTGGTTGGCCCCTGAGCGAGACAGGATGCAGGACTAGATGGACCACTGGCCTGATCCAGCAGGGCGCTTCTAATGCTCTTACGAGGGCCTTGGCCTCTCTGCCCTGTTGTTGGACCTCCAGAGGAACTGGTTGACCACTGAGCGAGACAGGATGCTGGACTAGATGGACCACTGGCCTGATCCAGCAGGGCGCTTCTAATGCTCTTACGAGGGCCTTGGCCTCTCTGCCCTGTTGTTGGACCTCCAGAGGAACTGGTTGACCACTGAGCGAGACAGGATGCTGGACTAGATGGACCACTGGCCTGATCCAGCAGGGCTCTTCTGATGTTCTTATAAAGGCCTCGGCCTCTATGCCCTGTTGTTGGACCTCCAGAGGAATGAGACAGGATGTTGGACTAGATGGACTAGATGGCCTGATCCAGCAGGGCTCTTCTGAGGCTCTTAAGGTTCTCTGGGCAAGGTACCCTCAGGCACAGTGCCGTGACGATCACTGCTTAATCACTGCAGTCCGAAGCTGCTTCTGCCCGGGCCAAAAGACAAATCATCTCATTTACTGGATATCCTTGTTCATGGCTGTTCCGGCCATTAAACTGACTGATCTGCGTAAAGGATGGCTTCGCTCTGTCTTGGCTCCTTCTCTGGACCACCACGGTTGGATGCGTCCTCCAAATAAGTGATGTCGGCTAAATGGCACGACCTGCTTTTGGCATTGATTTGACGACTGATCACAGGGATATCTGGGATCGTGAGCAGTGCATAAGAGCCACCGAAGAGAAGAGAAGAAGAGAAGGAGAAGAGATTGGATTCATGCCCCGCCCTTCACTACCCAAAGGAGTCTCAGAGCGGCTTACAAACTCCTTTCCCTTCCCCTCCCCACAACAGAAGAAGAAGAAGAAGAAGAAGAAGAAGAAGAGGAGGAGGAGGAGATTGGATTTATACCCCGCCCTTCACTACCCAAAGGTGTCTCAGAGTGGCTTACAATCTCCTTTCCCTTCCCCTCCCCACAACAGACACCCTGTGAGGCAGGCGGGGCTGAGAGAGCTCTGACAGAAACGGCTCTTTTTCAAGAACAGCTCTTATCAGAACTACGGCTTGCCCAAGGTCATCCAGCAGGTGCAAGTGGAGGAGTGGGGAATCAAACCCGGCTCTCCCAGATTAGAAGAAGAAAAGATTGGATTCATGCCCCGCCCTTCACTCCCCGAAGGCGTCTCAGAGCGGCTTACCAACTCTTTTCCCTTCCCACCCTTTTAAAAAAAGATCTGGGGATCGGAGAGACCTCAGGGACACGTCATGCCACGGAGTCTAGTCCACCCTCCAAGGCAGCCATTTTCTCCAGGGGAACCGGACTCCGTAGTTTGGGGATCAGCCGCAATTCCGGGAGCTCTCCGGGCCCCACTCGGAAGCTTACTAGGCAGCCTTGAGAAAGACAGGAGTGCTCGTCTATGACTGTCAGCTGCTTTTGCAGGACCAGCAACACACATCAATTTAAACTTCAATGTAACCACAAAAGGAAACTTTCCCTCTTTAGAAGACTTTCAAGCAAGGAGAAGCAGGTGTACAATTCTAGAGACTCCCGTTGGGGTTGATTGTGGAAAAAGGATGTAAATTGACTGGTAGCTATTAGATTGTAAAGGTAAAGGTAAAGGTTCCCTTGCTTGAAAGCCAGTCGAATCAGACTCTAGGGTTGCGGTGCTCATCTCCGTTCCAAAGCCAAAGAGCCAGCGCTGTCCGAAGACGTTTCTGTGGTCATGTGGCCGGCATGACTAAACACCAAGGCGCATGGAATGCTGTGACTTTCCCACCAAAGTGATACCTATTTATCCACTTGCAATTTCTTGCTTCAAACTGCTAGGTTGGCAGGAGCTGGAACTAGAGACAAGAGCTCACTCCGTCATGCGGCACACTCAGGTCTCGAACTGCTGAACTACCGACCTTCCACAGCCTGCAGTTCAGCGTCTTAACCACTCGAGCCACCGCAGCTCCATATTAGATTGTACAAACTGATTATTATTGTTGATATTGCATGCAATGAATATCTACCTGTTTTAGAATAGTATGAATAATACACAATGCACTTTATAAGACGGAACATATAAAATACTAACTTATAAATAAGGTTTTTGGAGTGTACATAATTCTTGTTTGGCCCACTTGGAAGCCGGCAACTCTAGATCAAGCAAAAACCTGCGGTCTCACGGAAGCAGGCCCCGGAAGCAGGAAGCGTGCCATCGCAGCCGAGAACAGTTAATGAACCCCAGTCAAGCGACCTTTCCCGAGCCGGCCCGGCTTTTCAGATGTAATTATTTGGACAGAATTATTTTCATGACTTAATACAATGCCTCAAAGCTTTCCAGGGAGGTTAATTAGATCCCTCTGTTCAAAACCTATCTGCTCTAAACCGACTTTTAATATGCCGCGATGCAGCTTTCTCAATTTGACCTAATGATATGATTAGCAGGCGGCTATCTGCCCTGCTCCGATTAGCGTGGCACTGAGTCCCCCTGGCAGCCAGTGCTTCGTGCAAATCGGAGCCAACGTCCTCAGCCCCTTTCCTCTCTGATTCCTGGCTGATCGCGCGGACTGGTGGCTTGTGCGGCCCACAGGCCTGCACAGAACAAAACAGCAGCAGACGCACAACTCTGCATTATTGCCTGGGACATTTAGGGAAGGGCCGTGGTGAGTGGCAGAGCATCTGCTTGGCATGCAGGAGGTCCCAGGTTCAATCCCCGGCACCTCCAGTTAAAAAGGACCAGGCAGTAGGTGATGGGAAAGACCTCTGCCTTAGACCCTGGAGAGCTGTAAGGAGGGGCCCTGGCTCAGTGGAAGAGCCTCTGCTTGGCCCGCAGAAGGTCCCAGATTCTGTCCCCGGCATCTCCAGTTAAAAAGGACCAGGCAGTAGGTGATGGGAAAGACCTCCGCCTGAGACCCTGGAGAGCTGTAAAGAGGGGCTGTGGCTCAGTGGAAGAGCCTCTGCTTGGCCCGCAGAAGGTCCCAGGTTCTGTCCCCGGCATCTCCACTTAAAAGGGACCAGGCAGGAGGTGATGCGAAAGACCTCCGCCTGAGACCCTGGAGAGCTGTAAGGAGGGGCTGTTGCTCAGTGGCAGTGTAAGGAGGGCAGCAGCGGAGAGGACTCGCAAGAATGGGTTTAAATTAAGGGCGGGAAGGTACTGGCTGGATATGAGGGAAAATGTTTTCACAGTAAGAGTTGTTCAACATGGGAATCGGCAGCCCAGGGAGGTGGTGAGCTCCCCCTCCCTGGCAGTCTTGAAGCAGCGGCCGGACAAACACTGGTCAGGGATGCTCTAGGCTGATCCTGCACTGAGCAGGGGGATGGACTAGATGACCTCCATGGCCCCTTCCGACTCCGTGATTCGATTCTAAACGAGACCCTCAAGAGATTTCCAGGGGTTGTGGTGCTTGAGCATCCTTCCTTCTCTGCATCAGGGTGACGGAGTGAGTAAATCACACGTGATGCACATAATTATGTGCCCGCAGCATCACTGCACAAGTCCCTGGTCTTTCCTGACCAGAGGGGAAAATGAATGTCTCGGTGAGGACTGATAGTTCGCCTCTTGGACTGCTTGGCCTGTGGAACGTGTGCCGAAGGCAGAATGTTTTTGTATTCCTACTTGGCTAAATTGACTAATTAATTATTCAATTAAAAGCATATTTCAGTGTTTGCTAGAGTGAGATTGCGTTTTGCCTGCCATTTTAATTCAGGGAAACGGTGTCCCCTTGGGCACCGGCAGACGCTGTGTTATCCTTTCCTTCAAAACGCGCTTAATTTTTGGGATTCGCTGTCGTCGTCGGAAGCAAAGGCCGCCGGCCTCGATAGCTTTTAAAAGCCAGCTATCAGGAATGAAAGTTCAACAGAACCTCCCTGTTCAAAAGCAGTGTACCCGTGGATTCTATATGCTGGGGGTATACAACAGAGAGGGAGTTAAATGTTAGAAGATCAGTGCTTAGCTCTTGTGGGCCTTTCTTACACGCAGTGTTCCCTCTAAGATGAGTTAGTGCGAGCCAGCTCACAATTGTTTTTAGCCTTCAGCTCACCCATTTTTGTCTTAGCTCAGGAAGGAAGGCTCCAGAGCAAACTTAATTCATGCACTAGCCAAATCGCTCACCACTTTAATGCCAGTAGCTCACAAAGTGGAATTTTTGCTCACAAGACTCCATAGCGTAGAGGGAGCATTGCTTACACGCACAGGGAAATGCTGATTGCCACTTTGGGGGTCAGGAAGCAATTTTTCTCCAGGCCGGTTTGGCCGGGGATCCTGGAGGTTTTTTGTCATTTTCTGGGGCTGGAACAGGGGTCACTGGGTATTTATTTATTTATATATAGTCAAATTCATAGTCAAATAAATGTGTGGAGGGGGAGGGTATTTGTGAATTTCCCGCATTGCGCAGGGGGCTGGACTAGATCCGACTCTATGATTCTAAGATTTCCCTCCCCCCGCCCTTTTCATGGCGCACAAGCTGCCTGCGGAACCCTCTGCCACCAGAGGACACAACGGGTGAAGCAGTAACATTGTACTTACCGAAGTAGTCATCCGAAGGGGGGTTCTCCATGTCATACAGCATCTTCTTAGTCAAGTGCTCCAGCTCGTCCTCTGGTCTGAATAAAGGAGCATTCTGTGGAGGATTGGGGCCCACCTGTCCACTCTGGAGGAGAGAAGAACAATTTATGGTGTCTCCAGGTCGGACATGGGAAAGCAGGACAGCAGACACAGAGAACCATAGAGCCACAGAGTCGGAAGGGACCTCCAGGGTCATCGAGTCCAACCTCCTGCACAAGGCAGGGAATTCACAAGTACATCCCCCTCCGCACCCTCAGTGACCCCTGCTCCACGCCCAGAGGCTCAGAGGTAAAGGAGAGCCTTGACAATTGTCTTACAGTGCATCGACCGGTGCCCTGGCCTAGACAGCCGAGCCTACTCCAATCTCTTCAGATCTCGGAAGCTAAGCAGGGTCGGCCCTGGTTAGTGCTCGGATGAGAGACCACCAAGGAAGTCCGGAGTTGCTACACAGAGGCGGATGATGGCAAACCACCTCTAAGCATCTCTTGCCTTCATCTGAATGGCCCAGGGCTAGCCCAATCTCGTCAGATCTCGGAAGCTAAGCAGGGTCGGCCCTGGTTAGTGCTCAGATGGGAGACCACCGAGGAAGCCCAGGGTTGCTACGCAGAGGCCGGCAATGGGCAAACCATCTCTGAATGTCCGCCCTGACCTGGATGGTCCAGGCTAGTCTGATCTCATCAGATCTCAGAAGTCAAGCAGGGTCATCCCTGGTTTGGACATGGGTGGGAGACCAACATGGAAATCTGGGGTTGCTACACAGAGGCACGCAGCAGCAAAGCATCTCTGAATGTCTGCCCTGACCTTGATAGGCTAGTCTGATCTCATCAGATCTTGGAAGCTAAGCAGGGTCGGCCCTGGTTTGGACATGGGTGGGAGACCACCAAGGAAGTCTGGGGTCGCTACGCAGAGGCAGGCAACATCCAACCATCTCTGAATGTCTGCCCTGACCTGGATTGGATGGCCCAGGCTAGTCCGATCTCTTCAGAACTCGGAAGCTAAGCAGGGTCGGCTCTGGTTAGTATTCGGATGGGAGACCACCACGGTTGCTTTGCAGAGGCACACAATGGGGAAACTACCTCTGACTGTTTCTGGCCCTGAAAACCCTGCTGATCTGCTGCGGCCCTTTCCTGCCTGGAGATCGGGCTGCTTGCCCAGGAGGAACCCAAGCAGCGCCTGAACATTATGGGACAGGAAGGCCTAGCTGCCCCCTTTCCCTCCTTGCAGAAAAGACCTATCTGGAGCACACGTGTTCCAAAACATCCTAAAAGCACAGTCTTGGAACGAGGGGCAGAAGGACCAGGAAAAAAAATAACATGGGTGTAAGAGATGAGTGGGATTAGAAAAGAAACCACAATTCTCCAGCCTGGGCTTTCTCGCACATCCACAAAAACGGATGCTACATATTTAAGAATAAGATAACGCCTGGCTTTACACAAAGTCACGTCTGGAGACCCAGTTTGGTGTGGTGGTGAAGTGCGCGGACTCTAATCTGGGAGAGTCGGGTTTGATTCCCCACTCCTCCACCTGCACCTGGCTGGATGACCTTGGGCAAGCCGTAGCTCTGATAAGAGCTGTTCTTGAAAGAGAGCAGTTTCCAGCTCTCTCAGCCCCACCCACCTCACAGGATGTGTCTGTTGTGGGGAGGGGAAGGGAGAGGAGACTGTAAGCCGCTCTGAGACTCCTTTGGGTTGTGAAGGGCGGGGTATAAATCCAATCTCTTCTTCTTCTAGTATAGAAAGGTTGTGTGTGTGTGTGTGTGTGTGTGTGTGTATGGGGTAACATTACCATAGAGTTTCTCACAATTCCGAGATGTACCCTTGTCACCTCTGGGGAGCTCTAGAAATCATAAGGAACTCTATGGTCAGAAATTCCAGTAAGTGGACGAGGCTTTATTTTTTCTGCCCAAAACATCATGCACCCGCCCCGTCCCCCCAGTTTCCGCCCGCCAATCAGCTGCTCATCGGCAGGCAAGGGCTGCCATTGCCTGGAGGTCTCCTGCCACAAGTGGGCAAGTGAGAACCCCATTTTATTCTGGCATGTGGGATCTGAATTTCCTGGAGGCACTCGGCCTTCCCCGGCGCCGAAGTTCCTCAGCCTGGGATGGCAAAACAAGACGAAACGGGCTTCCGCTGCAGCGATGCCGTGCTGTGTCTAATGGCTAATGGTCTCCGTGCCTTCAGGGCAATTTAATACTCAAACCACCGGATTTGCATGTTCCCTTTGTGCTGGCTTTCTCTTCCCCCTCCAAAGCGATAAGCCATCTTCAAGAAATGCCCGGCTAGAAGCGAAGCAGGCTTAATCTGCATAATGTGGCTTTTTAGCACAGTTTGATACGGAATCGGGTTGAGGGGATTGAAAGCAATTTCTTTCTTGAGGTTTTGTTGCAATGCACGGCACTCCGGTGCTTTCGCATTCTTGTGGGGTACGGTGGGGGGGGGAGGTATTATCAATTACAAAAACAACCGTTTGCATTTGCACCAAAATCATAGGTCTCTTTCCTTTACAAAGTTCCCGGGAGAGGTTATTCAGATGCATGCCACCCAAGTACATCCCCTCTGGACCAACAGCTCACCACCTGGACAAAGGGTTAGATCTGCTGGCCAGCCTGAATACTTTCTTCGTTTATTTCAAACATTTACTAAATGTATTAAAGACAAAAATTTTAAATCACAATTCAGGACTACTAGTAAACTTAAGCAAATGTGGCCCTAAATAAAACCATCTTCAACTGCCTCCTAAAGATAAAAAGTGAGAGGAGGAGGAGGAGGAGGAGGATGAAGAAGAAGACCTTTCTCAGACACTGTTGTTGTTGTTATTGAATTGCTTACATGTTGTTTTTATGAATACTGTTGAATCAAACTCGGTTCTCCCAGATACCCCAGAACCTCACCAGGTGAAGGCTCAACTGGTGAGCAATCCTTGCCTGACTGTGGGAACTGCACTGTACATTGGAGGAGGAGGAGATTGGATTTATACCCCGCCCTTCACTCAAAGCGGCTTACAAACTCCTTTCCCTTCCCCTCCCCACAACAGACGCCCTGGGAGGTCGGCGGGGCTGAGAGAGCTCTTGACAGAAACTGCTCTTTTTCGAGAACAGCTCTTGTCAGAACTACGGCTTGCCCAAGGTCATCCAGCCAGGTGCAAGTGGAGGAGTGGGGAATCAAACCCGGTTCTCCCAGATTAGAGTCCGCACACTTAACCACGACACAAAACCGGTGTACCCATGGGGAGGCCCTTAGCTCAAGCACCTACTTTGCATGGCTAAAGTTCCAGGTTTAATTCCTCAGGTCTCCAGTTAATACAGGGTCTCACGGGTATGAAAGCACCCCCCCCCCCCGTGCACGGCATGGAACTTCCGGGAACTCTGAAGAACCACAGCCACTTGAATGAGGAGGTTCTCTTTAGTCGCCGTGGCTAGTAGCTGTCGATGGACCTCTTTTCCATAAGAACTGCTATGTACGCGGACCGCCACCAGGGGTCTATGGCTACAGTCAGGAGCTTAGCTCCTCTGAACAATAGGAACCTAGGATCCTAGTTCCCCCAGCACCAACCAATAGCCACTTTGGCGGGAAATTCAAACCCTCCAATGGGACTGGGTGTGTGCTGGGAGGGTGTGTATACAGTTGGTTGGCCTTGCAGGGCCATTTTTCAGTCTGTCTGTGTTAAGTACAATAAACGTGTGCAAGAGCATGTCGTTGTCCGAGTCCTCCATGCGGCGAACCCAGTACTTTTCAAGAACGTCTCTATTCCTCTGTTTCTGTCCTGCCATTGGAGAGGACTCAGAGCTAGTACGAGATGAGGAAATGATCCACATGAGAAACAAACGCTGAATTAAAAGGAATCTCCGCTTTCCATCCTTACACATTTTTTTTTTGGGGGGGGGGGGGAATGCTGGACTGGGAAGCCCATTTGCGGGAAATCGAAAGGCCAGGGAGCAAATGCCTCCTCTCCATTTTTAAAAATTTCAGGCTTTCTGTGGTGCACTCTTTATTTCCATTCCAAACTTCCCCATAACAATCAGCCTCTATTTCAGCCGCGATTCATTAAAGGCGATATTATGTCTAGGCGTGCTCGGTTTCGGCCCACCTTCAGAAAAAGAGCCGCCAGAGCAAGTGAGAAAACACCTTTCAAGGAAGATGTTCAAGCGCCGGACCCTAATGAACGCTCCCCTCGCCTGAGGGGCACCATTTACCTTCATTCTCCCCCCCCCCCCCACGCCCATTTTGCAAGCGATGTAGCAGAGGTTCCTTTCTTGGAAAGGAAATAACTTCAATTATGTGTTCTCAACCAAAGAAACATGGAAATTATCTTCTTTTCAGAAGGTAGAATTAGCCCAATTTAGAAACGGAAGAGCTGCCAGAAAAACATCCCTTGCTGATATTTACTTTTTTCCCCCTTCCATTTTTCTCCGGCTTCTTTGGATACAGATCAAACGTACGGGATAACGTGTCGGCAACGTGGCCCTGGGTATTACCGTGCCCGGAACAGAGGACCCAAACGGTCCTCTTCCATGCTCTGTGACACTTTCCGTTAACTTCCCCAAAGAAGGGCGCGCGTTTCCTCTCACACCTGCAGCCATTGCTGCCCACTGGCCTTTGCTCAGTCATTTTGCTCATGGTGTGGTGCTTTACGATGATACCGCTGTCGGGGGAACTTGGCTGGAACCCAGAATGCTGTGATTAGAGGCTGGGACTTAGCCCAAGGAACGACAGGGGACGGCACGTGCCCACAGCCAGTGTTCCCTCTAAGCTGAGTTAGTGTGAGCTAGCTCACAGGTTTTTAGCCTCCAGCTCACACATTTCTGTCTTAGCTCAGGAAGGAGGGCTCCAGAGCAAACTAATGATGCAGCAGCCCAATCGCTCGCTCACGACTTTAATGTCAGTAGCTCACAAAGCAGAATTTTTGCTCACAAGACTCCACAGCTTAGAGGGAGCATTGCTCACAGCCATTCGTGGCGGGAGAAGGGAACATGTACGTCTGTGCCATCAAGCTGGAACCGACTGACGGCGGCCCCAATGAAGGGGCTTCCAAGGCAAGAGAGAAGCAGAAATGGTTGGCCGTTGCCTTCCTCGGTGGTCTCCCTTC